TGACCCTCCTGCTGCCAGCGAAGCTTCTCCAAAGAGAAACCTCCGGCCTGGTCCCCATGGGGCATCCGGCCCCACAGCATCCCACCCTGGGACCGGACCCCGCAGCGCTGCCAGCCCGGGGGCCACCGACCTGGCAGAGGTCCACGTTCCAAGGGGCATCGCAGGACCAGGGTAGGGGGCTCTGGAAGGAGGAGCCCAGGTAGTAGAAAGCCCAGGCGATGATGACGTTGTAGTAGAGGGATACCAGGGAGGACACGATCAGCATGGCGACGCCAACGCCTGCGCAAGGAGAAGGGATGCTGAGGGAGGGCAGGCAGGGGCCCGTCAGCGCCCCGGGGACCACTGGCCCCAGAACACATCCAAAGGGCTGGAGAGGTGGCAGAAGACCTGCCCAGGGACTCGGGGTGCAGGCTGAGGCCCCACCAAGGGGATGCCCCAGCCCCCATACCCACCCCGCACCCCTTCCCGCAGCCCAGCCGTCCCCAGCGGTGGTGGGGCAGGAAGGAGGGCTGCCCCAAACCCCACCTTTCAGGAGCGGGCAGCACTTCCAGACAGTGATGGGCCCCGCGGCCCCGTACTGGCCCAGGCTCAGCTCCATCAGGAAGAGGGGCAGCCCCGTGACGAGCAGCATGATGAAGTAAGGGATGAGGAAGATGCCTGGCAGAAGGAGAGGGGCAGTGGGTTGGAGGGATGGCCGGCACCAGTCCGGGCTCCCCAGGGGACAGATGTGAGTGGTTTGGATTCGCAGCAGCAACGTGTGTCCAGGCAGGATGCAGCGCAGCAAGAAAAGCTCCCGGGGGCTGCTGGCTCCATCCTGGGGGCCATCCCCAGCAGACGAGTTCCCCACGTGCCCCACAAAGGGGGCCTGAGCTGGCAGCTGGTGGGATCCCACTGGCCGTGGGTTGGGGTGGGTGGTGGGAGCAGCACTGGGGTACAGCCGTGGGCACTGCGGTGGTGGTCAGGGCCATGGGATGCTCAGGGCCATGGTGCCCCGGTCCCGCTGGGATGCTCAGTGGCCTGGCATGTGCCCACAGAAGATCCCGGTGTTTCCTCTGGCGCGACACTGACATCTCCACCTTTACACAGCTTGTCTCAGCAACTGCCTTCTCTGCAGAGGAAATCCTGCTCTTTGCAGCCTCAGTCAGGCCAAATTGGTGCTGGAAAAGGACATTTTTCCAGGGGAGAAATCAGCATTTCCCAGCTGGCAGCCAGCCGCAGCCGAAGCGCATCCTCTCCCGGTGGCAAAGCTCCAGCGCAGTGATTGCCATTCCCCCCAGTGGAGCAGCTCTCCAGCCACGATGCTCTATCCAAACCCCACTCCCCCGCAGCTTCGCTGACAGACCAGATGTGGGGCTGACTGCTCATTAGCCCGGCACTCATTAGCACAGCGCTGCAGGGGAGTCACCCCTCAGCTCTGGCAGAGGCTTTGCAGGGCTCGGCCTGGGGCGCAGGGGACCGCTGTGGGTTTAAAGCCCCATTGGGACATCGGGAATTCCTGCTTGGCTGCTGGCAGAGGCCGGGAGCGGAGGGTGATGGTGCCCCGGTCCCGCTGGCCCCCTGCAGCCAGGGATCGGCCGAGCATCGCGGGGCTGCGGGAGTGGGGCAGCGCAGCGTGTCCCTGCACTGCCCACGGTGCTGGGAAACGGTGTCTCTGGCTGCTTTAGAACGGTTTAGGTTGGAAAGGACCTTGAAGATCATCATTCCTGCCAGTGCAATCCATCCTTCGGGTGCTGGCACTGCAGGGGTCTTCTGCAGGAGGTGTCACACGGGGACAAACCTCCCGACAGCCCCAGCTCCGTGGCTTCGGGATAACCTCCCCCCCCGACTGCGTTCCCCCTCACCCCTTTGGAAGGGGGCAGCACCCCCGTTTCTCCTGCTGGCCCCAAGCCCCTTTGGCTGATGCTGCACCGAGGGTGGGCAGGGAGCAGGTTCCTCATCCCCCGTGGGTGCTGGGCAGTGCCCACAGGCAGCGTGGGCCGGGCGGGCGGCAGTGACATCCAGTGGTGAGCACATCCATCGTTATGCCTGGCTGAAGCCACCCTCACCCTGCTGGGATGAGGGGTCTGTGGGGTCTGCGCGGCGATGGCCCCCGCAAAGCTCCTGCAGCACAGCCCGTCTCCTGTCCTTCCTGGCCCCGAGGGAGCGCCCAGCTTTGGGCACGCACGGCCCCGTGCGGTGCAGGCAGCCCCTGCCCGCAGGCAGCCATGCCCCGGGAGAGGGCCTGGGGAGAGAGGGGACCATCATGGGTGGTGGGACCACTGGGAGTGGGAGGCTTGGGGTGTCCCACATTCCTGTGGTCGCTGCAGCAAGGTAAAAGCCCGGGGGCCCCCCCACGCCCTGCGCACCCCCGTGCCCCAGGGCTGCAGCGTCTCCTCTGGGAGCAGCCGCTTCTTCTTCTCCCTCTGCCCCCTCCCTGGCGCCAGTGCTAACGTGGGGCAGGCAGCACAGCCCCTCGGGAAGCAGGAGATGCTTCCCCAGGAAGATCCGCAGCAAACCCTGCGCCCCAGCCCCAGCGCGGGGACACGGCAGCCCCATCACCCAGCAGTGAGCTCTGCCCCGAGGGCCAAATTCCGCCCGGTTTGTCGGTTAGGTGAGGTGCAAAGCTTGGCACAGCCCAGCTCTGGCACGTCCCGCCAAGGTGCCGGTGCTTTCCCAGACCCACGCGGTGTCACGGGGATGGGTGCCAGCCCCAGCGGGCAGCAGGGGCGAGTTCACGCCAGGCAGGGTGTTCCAGAGTCAGGCCTGCTCGCGTCGGCTCAGCCAGGGACACATGCAGGGTCGGGGTCGGCTGGAGCTTGGGGCAGAGGTTCGGGGGGCCACGGAGTGGCAGGCAGGGTCCCACAGCCCTGTGCCCCATGCACGGCTGCCGGGCTGCTGCCACCGCACAACACACCCACCCTGTGCCCTGAACAAGTCTGTTGGCTCATCAACAAATGAGTTCAGTTCCAGTGATTTAAGGAGCATCCGTGGGGCAAAGGGGAAATCACCAATTTAACTGGTCCGTTTGAAGTGAATGTAAAAATAATGGTGCAATAAAAGCCCCGCAGAGTGCTCTGGGGAGGACAGGCTGTGCGCCCACAGAGCATTGGGCATCCCGAGCCAGCAGCAGAGCGGTGCAGACTTCTGCGATGCCCAACACAAGGGGCGATGCCAGAGGACAGAGCAACGCGGGTCAGAAGCACAGCAAAGATGGTGAGGGCTGGACGGGGAGAGGTGGGCGCTCCAGCTGGGTGCAAGAGGAGACAACGTCAGGGCAGCAGAAGAAGCAAGGGGCTCAGGAATGACCTTTGGGGAGGTTTCTCCCATCCCACGGCCCCAGGACACGGTGCTGCGTCCTGGGGCGTTGCCACCAGGCACCAGCTACAGGATGAGCTCCTGCACTTTGCCCGGCCACAGAAACGTGGGAGGTTATTGCCCCGCTTGGCTGCCTTCCCCGGGCACTCCTGCCCAACTGAATTGGACTTTACAGCGGATGGGCACCTCCATGCACCATGCACCATGCACAACAGTGTGCAGCTTCATGGCACCCAACGGTCCCTGCTACTGCCCCTGCAGAGGGGCTGACGGAGCTGCAGGGGGTCACTGCCTTTATGGACAAGACCCATTTCTCTGGGCAGGGGCAGAGATGCTCTGCAGAAGGGCTCTGCCTGGAGGCAGCTCTTTTTGGCCCAAACCAGCCGGAACGGTGTCACAGGCTGCTCCGGGCTCACGCCAGAGGCAGGCACATCTCTGGGCAGCACAGGGCAGCCCCAGCAGGAGCAGGAGAAGTTCCCTGGCAGACTCATGGGGAGACGGTTTGAACTGTTAAAGCATCCTTTCCCGTGGTCCTCACAGTGGGATTAAGGTGGTGGAGTCCAGGTGGGCAACACAAGACCCCAAAGTCCCCGAATCCCCCATGTTTGTTGTCCTGGAGAGCACAGCCCCTGTGCACCACCATGCTGTCCCTCCCCAGCGCCGCCGTGTTCCTGGCTTCCACCTAGGAGAAGCAAGCAGTGCCGGGGAAGGGACATGTGTGCCCGCAGCCGTGACTCACCTCCTCCATTGCGGTAACACAGGTAG